ATCTAAACCCTCATTACAAAGATACTACATCACTTTTTAGAATGCATGCCTCTTTTTGTGAAATACTGCTGTATTGGCTGGGACTGGGGTAAGGGAGTGCACAAAAATGGCTGGGGCTGGAAGGGTTAATGTATGTATGTATTTCTTGTAAGTAAATTGTTAAATGTAAGTTTGGACTACTGCCTCAACTAGTGTTATCTTTTATGTCATGTATATTGGGGCTGGAAGTGTAACACTACAGGATTTTCATGCTGTCCTCTGTTTAATTCCCCTGACTGCCCAATAGCAAGGGAAATGACTCTAACACGACTAGGTGAAGAACTATATCATAATGAGTTATTTCCCTTCGTACAAACTGATGAGATGGCCTGGGTCTAGTATGTATTTCTTGTAAGTAAATCTTTTGACTTTGTATTTTAGCTGACACAGCCCTGTGCTCTGCTATCTTCAAACCTGGTCATAAATGAGACTTTCTTGTGGTGCTAGAGACTATAAATCTGTACTAGAAAAAAATTAACAAAGTCAAATAATTGATTTATGTTTTTTAAAATTTATTTATGTATTATTTGTCTTATAAATACTTTTGTATTGCCTATTCCGTACCACAACTTGTGCATGAGTATCAAGGTACCAGACCTGCCAAGTGGTGTGATAAATTTGGAAATGTGCAACTGGCCATAGATTCTTTGTTTATCTTTCTCCCAGCGTTTTATGCAAGAAAAATTCTGAAATTATGCAAACTGAGCCCAAAAATGTGAAATTATGCAATTCTGTTAATTTTTAACAAAGAATGATAAAGGAAAAAATCAGAAATTATGCAAAAAAATGATTAAATTATGCGGGGAGCATAAAACCACGGTTACAGATTTATAACAGAGGCACAAATTTCTAGACAAAGTCAGATACAGAGCTGCCGGGTACACAGATAAAATTGAAGCCATCTGATTAGTTCTGTTGGTATCATTGTGGACTATTAAGTAGTTCTGTTGGTATCATTGTGGACACGCCTTTGTCCTATCGAAGACAGACTTTAGAATTTAGGGGTCCCGCCAAATAGCCTAATAGTGTTGGTATGGACTTAAAAAAACAACTATACAACAACATGATAAGGTACAGATAAAAAAAACTATCCTGACTGTCCTCCATGTCACCGACATCGACAACTTTTTTCACAGAGGAGAGGAAGGCAGCAACCCCCTCCTCTAGATCTGTCCCTTCTCAACAAACTTGCCGAAACTTTCACCGCCAACGTCTTCCCCCACCATCAACATGTCTGTCAACAAAGGCGTGTTTGCGTGGAATGGCAGTCTCAAGTCTCAGCTACCCAGTATACTGTCTGCCCAGACAAGCCAGGCAAGTTTGGTGTCAAGATAATTCCAGCTCTGTGACTTCAGCAATGCCCACTGCACACTTGCCAAGTACTCTGATAAAATTGGAGCCCTTCGATATATTTTTTTCATAATCTGTTCTTGAACCCCAAGTGGATTTACACAAATCAGATTTTTTTGTGAGAAAAATTGAAGTCAATTCCCATCAGTCATGGGCAGCTTATTGAAAATGACAAGAAATTACGTTGGATTATTTGCAATATTTGTCTGACTTACTGTAATGAAGTGAAAATTCACGTTTTATCTGTGTGTATTTACTATACTATACTATAATGGTTTATTTGCTATTTTCGGTATGTAATGTGATCTACCGCGGTTCTGGAGACTCCATTTTGTCCTTGTTTCCTTGACACATGACAACAATTCAGCAGACAGGGATCACCCAGCAACAGACTTGCTTACACTTACAGATTTAACAACAAAGGACAATGCTGATGACAAGGAAAATGAAACTGATTCTTCGGACAGAGCGGAGTTGACACAAGAAATGTTTTTTGCTTTAAAGTGCACTTCATCTGTACCTGCAATAGAAATGTCGACTGTTGTGACCCCAGCATGTCACTGACTTCAGCACTTGACAGCCATGGAAGATGTAATGGTGATGAGCTGATGGACAACTTAACAGACAACGATTTTAAACTTTTACCAACAAAAGTGGCGACATCTATGAGGACAGGAGATAGCTGGGAGACGCGGGCCCGGGGACTCTCTTGAACTCATCATCCAGCTCAATACTGAGTCCCATCTAGTTGTGGAAACCCCTCTTCAACTCATCATACAGCTCACAGCTTCTACTGGGGTCCTATCTAGCTATCTAGTTGTGGAAACATCTCTCCAACTCGTCAAGCTGACAGCTACGACTGGATGGGCAAAAAATCCCCCGAAAACATTTTAATGGGCCTACGGCAGTCCTAAGCCTGCAAACCAACTCCAGTTGGGAACTCAGAAGGGAATGTTTTTTTAATAACCCTCCCCCACCCCAAAAGAAAAAATAAGAAAGGGAAAAAAACTCTAAAAGAAACCTCAGTGTGATTGGTCGGTGGGTGCTCTGGTGTGGTTTGCGCCTTCTTTCCTGTTAAACTTCTATTGTCCTTATAATATCTCTCCTATTCTTTGTATGTTACTCTCCAGTACTTACTTTCACTTTTTCTGTCCTCTTATGCCACAAGGTGTGGAGGGGAGGTCAATTGTTGGATTTATGCTAGGTGTTTTGATCGTCATGCTGTTCCTTTGGAGGGTCTCTTTGACCTCGTTGATCTATCTTTTTCTTGGCTTTCCTTTTGCCATGAAGTTGAAGCCATCGAATCACCGTGGGTGGTTGACGGGTGCTTTTGTGTGGTTTGCTTCTTCTTTCCTATCAAACACCTATCGTCTTTATCTAACCTCCTTCTTTTTTGTGTTTGTTACTCTCTTGTAACACCTCTAATCTTCTGGCGCTTATATGACCTTATGCAGTTGCAAGCGCCGTAAAACCTCTACTAAAACTAAACTACACTAAAAATGGGTTGCTTGTTTTAATGTTATATTTCTGCTTTTTGTTTTGGTTCTGTGTGTGTGTGTTTATCATTGTTTTGTGGGTGGCTTGGGGGCCGGCCCCCACTAGTCTTGAACTTCTTCTTTGCTGCCTCTCAGTTGTTTCTGTCTCTCCATCATACTTGTTTCTGTCTCTCCATCATACTTGTTTCTGTCTCTCCATCATACTTGTTTCTGTCTCTCCATCATACTTGTTTCTTCCGACTAATTTGTTTTCTTACTTTTAATGAGGGTGGTTGGCGGGTGCTCTGCTCCTTCTTTACTATCAAATATCTATCGTCCGTTTCTCTCCTTCTTTTGTATGTATGTTACTCTCTTGTAACACATCTATTCTTCGGCACTTATATGACCTTATTGTGTTGCAACTGCCGTAAAACTTTTTCTGAAACTAAACTAGGAGTCTGCGATGTAACAACAGTGAGGCGCTTCAATGAGCCATGCAGAAGTGAATTCACTTCTCGTGTGAGGAAATATTTTCGTAATACCGGTAGGCCTACATGTAATTAGTAGAATATCCCGGTCTGCTGGGACGTTTTATCCCTCTCAGCCTACGTTGGCCCTAAACTAGAAAATTCTAACATTTTAATCTAAATCAAAGTCTTGTTTTGAGATCTGGGACCTACTTTTTGAAGAGTGAAGTGCGTTCAAGTTGTTGGTGTCACTTCTGTAAATTTATACCACCATACTCAACTGGTGGGAACTGGCAATGTGGTGCCATCTGTTACCGGTATGTAAAATCTATTAAAAAATGATCTGAAGTTGTTGAAAAAAACGTCTCCCACAGAATAAAAACTCCATAAGTCAAACAGTTTTGTTTTTGTTGCTTTTTTTTCTTTTTCTTCTGATTACACACAAAAAGATGAACAAAATGTCCATGAATTATGAGCATTACGGAATACGTTTTTATGTTTTGATCCTACATTCGACGGTCACTATATAGAGTGAAGTGAAAAAAGAAAAAGCCCTTCCTGTGAAATACTGTCAAAAGACTGGGTCCCTAAAGGGAAGGTGCTTCTGAAATGGGGCATTTTTTTTTCAAATTTGCCGTATACTACTGTATACAAAAAACATTTGCTGTTATGTACAAAACTGAAACTGTCTTCAGTGTAATTGAGGGTAGTGGTGAAGGATTTGAATAAGATTAGGACCATCATCCCTCTATGGCAACCTAGAAAAGAAGTAGAAGAATATTATTATGTGAAGGTTGCTTTTTCCACACTATTTGTAGGGAATATATGCAAGTTGCCTCATTTGGTAAGATTTTATTATGAAAGAAACTAAAGTTTCCTCATTTTTCGACTAATTAGTAATAGGGTTCAAATTTTGAATAATGTCGCCTTACAAAATACATGTACTTGCCTCACAACCATATTGCAACATTTTGTCAACATCAGGTAAGTGTAGTCTTAACAGCTTTTTTTTTTTCAGGTAATTTTTTTATAATAGATATATATTTCATTTGTTCTTTAATCTGTAAGTGTCGTAAGGGTAAGTAATGTGGTCCTTCAATAAAAAAAAAATGTAGGGTCTGTTGAACGCTTGCATCGAGACATGTGATAGATTATTTTGGAGGCGGGCTATCTACACATATGTGAGGCAGCGTGGTGGAATCAGGCTCTCGTCAAAATAACCAAAGTGAAGAAACTTGCTTTTTTCTGTTGGTTTGTGAATTTTTATCAAATTTTTGTTTTTTGGCTCAAAACCTTTCATGCCCATTAAAGAACTCATTTCTGTGTGGATGTTTCTGAAAAACGTGATTAAAGGCACAAAAAAAGTAAATATTCAGTTACCACGGACTCTAAACCTAAGGAAATAACTAATCTTTGGCGGCCATTTCCTCACTAATTTTACCTCTGAAAACAAGTGACCCCACCTCCTTCATTCGCAAATATCTTGGCTTGTATTCAAGATAAATGGATATTTTTTTCATCCAAATAAAGACAAGTGAACAAACTTTACAATGATGCCAATAACCCTATATGCTCAAAAATTAACGAGAGCCTGATTCCACCACGCTGCCCCACATATATAGAATCATCTATCTACACATATATTATACATGCGCTCAATGATATTTCTCCCAGCAGAAAGACCAAGATACTAGATTGAAAAAATCCTCCCCACCCGAGAATCAAACTCAGGTCTCCAACATGCAACGATAATTGGCTTACCCACTACACCACAGACAGTGGTCTGTACACCACAGACAGTGGTCTGTATCGTGGTGAGGATGGACAAAAAATGAAAATGCTGATTTGTGCGTGTGTTCTTTGAAAAAATATAAAAATGTACTTACTTGTTGATTTGTCTGTTATCTTCAGCTTTGTCGTTTTGTTTTGTTTTTGGTTTGTTGCTTTTGTTTTTCTTTGTTGTTCTTGGTGATGCTTTTGTGTTGTAAATAAAATTTTCTTATGGGGATTTTTTTTTCTTGTGGGGGGGGGGGGGGGGGGTGTACCCACTACACCACTAGAAGAATACAGAATTGAGTGAGAGTGAGATGACTGCGTCCCTTCTTCCCTTTGCACAGGTTCGTGGAAACGCACGCTCCATATAAATATAAACCTGTCGCCATGGTATTATGCACCCTGCATGCCATAATTTAGCAAAATTTGATCTTTTTTTGCATAATTTCTAATTATTTATTTTTCTTAATCAGTCTTTGTTAAAATCAACTGAATCGCATACTTTCACATTTTTTGGGCTCAGTTTATATAATTTCAGAATTTTTCTTGCATAAAACGATGGGGACAAATGAGATGATACGAATGACGAGTGCTTTTTTTGGTACGACCCTTGTAGTATTTGACAATAAAAATAATATTACATACTACATGTCATATATATGTATCTTGTATTCATCTTCTTGCATGACCTCATAATTTCTGCTTGGGTGGTGGAGGGTGCTCTTGTGTGGTTTGCTCCTTTTTCCCTATTAAACGTCTGTTGTCCTTTTCTCTCCTCCTTTTTTTTGCGTTTGTTACTCCTTTGTCTTGTACTTGTAACACCTCTAGATCTAATCCTCGACACTTATATGACCTTATATTTTTGCAAGTGCCGTAAAACTCTTACGAAAAAAAAATTGCAGTTTGGAATGGGTAGTAGTACCAGTAGGTTCACTAGGAATGTTTTTGAATCATGTGGAAGTGGAAGCGTTTGTCGTGGGTCCGAGCAATCCCTATCCAAAATGATGAAGATGTAGAGATAGTACGTAGGCTATATGCCGGACAAGAGGGCTAACTACCCCAGATTTCGGGGGTTTCCAGAAATCTTGATCTACACAAAAAGTGGGCATTGCCGTACCTCTATGGGAGAAGTTTGGTTTCTCTGGTGTGTTTATATTTGTTTGGCTATAGAGAAAACTCTTATTGTCTTTTAAAGAAACTGAACAAGGAGCAAAAACGTTACCTTCGATTTTCTCAAAACAGCATTTTCCGGGAGATCCCCCTTGTGCTTAAAAGCGACCTTATGGCCTAGTATCGATAGAGGCATGAAACACCCAAAAGAATTGAATTGTAATTATCATGCATGAAGACATTTTCCCCGTGGGTGGTTGGCGGGTGCTCTGGTGTGGTTTGCTCCTTCTTTCCTATCAAATACCTATAGTCCTGATTTCTCCTCCTTTTTTATGTTTGTTACTCTCTTGTAACACCTCTAATCTTCGGCACTTATATTATGACCTTTTCCTTATTGTGTTGCAAGTGCCGTAAAACTCTTTAAATTAAAACAAAAACTAAAACATTTTCCCCTGTGTTCTCAGTTTTGTTTCTGTTACACTCCCGCTAAAGTAAAGACAGTTTCAACTGGATGTGACCACTCCACTAAACGTTAAAAGAAAAAAGGAGGGGGGGGGGGGGAGATATTGGTCCCGTGTCCCTTGTAGTTGTAGGCCAAGAGCTTGTTCACTTCCGTCTGAGGGCTTTAAAAAAACTCTAGATCTAGCTCTTTGAGGAATTTACCCATGCCCACGAAACTTTGCATGGCACTTCTGCAGGCCAGCGACCAAACAAAAATATTTTTTCAAAAAATCTTTACCTAGTAGTAGTAATAAAAAAGGTTTTCTCTTTGGGCCCTTTATTAAGAACTGCTCTTTGGATGCATACCCAGGATCACTAAAATAAATGACTTACAGTAATAATATTGCCACCAAATTGCTCATTTTGAGACAGCGACACCGCCCTGCCCCCACCTTTCTGTTACATTATATCTTGTTTCTTCCCCCGGCTGCCTGGATGGATGTTTCCACGTGCTCTACGTGAGTCTCGGAAATACTCACCCTGTTTCATGAATTAAGTTGAATTGTGTTTCTAATCTTAGGCGAACGTTAAAGTGTGGTGCTGAGGAAAATGTATCAACTTTTAAATGTGTTTTTTTAGGTGTATGCTGTAAATCCCCTATCTTTTTTTGACTCGGTTTAGGCTGACACTGACATTTAACACAAAAAACAAACAAACGTGTCAGAGCCTTAGTTTGCAGTGGCGTTTATTAATGAGAATGGGCTTTTAGGTTCTGTTGTTCGCTTACTTTTTAGACCCGCATGCAAAGACCCAGAAAGATTAAAGAGAGCGATTTGTTTTCATCCCATTTTAACCACCGTCAGACGAAAGTGAACGAGCAGTAGGTGCTGGGTAATTGAGGCAACGTACGTTATTGTAAACGTTGATTCCAGAATGTATGATTTAATCCGCCCCCCCCC